TGTTATTTATTTATTTATTTATTTAGTGTGTGGGGGGCCAGCTCAGCCCACCAGGGGGCGGGGCTGGCTGGCATATGGTGCTGGGGGATTGAACCGCGGTCACGGTCCCTGTGCTTTGCTAAGCTTGTTCTAAGTAGGTGCTTTAGACCACTGAGCCATCTCACCAGCCCCTATTTTTTTCTGTTTAATAAAGATTTCTTATTGTCTCATTAAAATATCGCAGATTGGCTTCACAATCCCGAAACTTGTTTCTGTGGCTGGGTAACTCTTGGATCTTACTCATAGGCTGCTGAACAGTTCCCTTTTCAGACACAGATACCACCCCAAATTTCCTGATATCCTTGTTTTTGACTGCTGTGGCTCGCTGAATCAAAGCAGCTGAATTTGAAACAAGTATTAGCACATTTTTGTGCTCTTGAGATACTGAGCGAGCAACACCTGCCCTCATATGAACTGGGTGAATGTATTTCTTTTTTTTATCTTTTTTTTTTTTTTTTTGCAGAACTGGGGATTGAACTCAAGCCCTTGTGCTTGCCAGGCAAGCGCTTACTCCACTGAGCTATCTTCCCGGCCCCAGTGAATGTATTTCTCACCCAAGAAATTCCGGATTTTGACAAGAGACCCATTCTCCTGAATAACGACATTGATGGGCAAGTGAGCACACGCAGCCCTCACCTTGTAACGGAAGCCCAGAGTGACCCCTTTGGTCATGTTCTGTACATGGCTACAGATGGTGCAAACAGTTGTCAACTCCTTTCTGTTTCCCCGCCATTTGTCAACCCGGAGCCTCTTCTTCTTCCCAAGGAGACTGAGTTCCACATTGATGTGGTTGAAGTCCCTCCGCAGGGTTCCTCTGGGGCCCTTCACCATAACTGTGCGTCCTTTCAGAGTGATGTCGACATTTTCTGGAATGTCCACAGTCTGATTGCTAAGAATGACCTTCTTTCTTGAGGGAGATGTGGCAAAGAGAGATTGTCTCTGGCTTTTATTCTTTAAAAAAAAAAAAAAAAGCCTGAAGAACTATTCTAATTGAACCTAAAGAGACATGCCAACCTTTGATCTTGGATTAGATTCTAGATCGATGTTTTTTCTTCTCTATCTATAAAGAACATTATTAGGAAAATTGGTGAAATTTTCCATGTGCAGTTTAGGTAATAGTATTATATCAATATTAATTTTCTAGTTTGGATAAAATATGAGCTTATAAAAGAAATATTCATTTCTTTTGTTTCTTAGAAAAATCTATGCTCCAGTTCCTAGGGAGAAAGGGGGTTCTTATCTGCATCTTATTCTCAAATGGTTTGGGGAAAAGTAGATAAAGAGGGAAAATGCTAAGCAAGTAAAGTTAAGTGTGTCCAGTACTTTTTGTGTAAAAAGTACCTTGTGCTCTTATGTAGGTTTGAAATTGTTTGGAGAAGTTCTCCATCTTCAGACTCCCAACTGTCAGCCCCTTTTTCCCTCTGGTTTGGGGGTTGAATTTAGAGCTTCCCCGCTTAGCTGCGTTCCTGATCCTTTTTGTTTTTAAATTTGAGATAGAATCTTGCCAAGTCATTAAGTGGTCCCTGCTGGGCTTGGACTTGTGCTCCCCCACATCCCAGCCTCCCACAGTGCTGGAATACAGGTGAGCACCCCCTGTAGGGCCCCCCCACCCTTTTTTGAAACATGGTCCCACTATGCAGTCCAGGCGGGCCTGGAACTCTCGGTGATCCTCCTGCTTCAGCCTCCCAAGTATGGGGGTTACATATGCCACCATGCCCGGCTCCAAGGCCTTGTGAGTGATTTTCTTCCGTTTTCTTCAGGCCCTCTCAGCTCCCTTCACAAAGCAGCATTTGCATGTACAGGGAGTGTGAGGAGGGTGTGTGTGTGTGTGTGTACACGCGCAGGCCTGCATCTCAGGCATCCACACCCTCAGGGTGCCACAGGGGCCAAACATAAGGTCAGGATGAGGTCAGTTGTCACAGTGCCAACTCAGACCGGTGAAGGCATCACACAGCCCCTGGCTGACTCCTTTCTGGTTTCACAGGGAGGGGAGGGCGTGGCTTTGCGGGGCTGGGGGCGCGTCAACCCAGCTCAGCAGAAGTCAGGAAGATTCACAGCACAGAGTTCCGGGTCCTCATAGCTGTTGGTACGCGGGCGTGTGCGCGCGCGCGCGCGCACACACACACACACACACACACACAGAGTCCTATGGCCTTTTTTTTTTCCTGTTCAAATGGCGGTGTCTGAGAAGGCCCCTTTTCACCAGGGCCAGCTGTCTCCACAGCAGGGAGCTGTTCGCCCCTCCCCAGGGCAGCTCAGTGCCATTCAGGGGCGGGGTAGGGTGGCAGGGCCCGGCAGTCCTCGCTCTGTTGTCACCCAGCCTGCCTAGAACCTTGTAACTAGATCCAAGGACCTAGAACACAATCCCAAAGTGTTCCAGTGTCCACACAATGATTGTGACAGGAAGAGACTCCGCGCCTTAGCGTAAATCCTGTGCCTCTCCTTTCCCTGGGAGCCGCTTGCGCTCACCCATTCCAGTCCTTAGAGGGGCAGTGAGGCGGACGGTGGTTCTGCTATTTATAAATGATACTGATTGAATGGAGTAGCGTCTTAATTCCTTCCCCATGCCCGAGGGACAATAACAAGGGAAGGCCTGAGAACGGGCGAGGCAGGCCGGGGTTCCTCTCCTGCGCACACCAGCCTCTCTGTCCAGCCCCAGCTGGCCTGTGCTTGCAGAAGGGCTTCGAGGAAGAAACAGTCATTTTCAGTTCTGGAAAGATATCTGTCTCAATTCACCAAACACTAGCCAGATATGAGTTATATAAATCAAATAGACATAAAGCTTCAGGCTGTAAAAAAAAATTAAAAAAAAATATTTAAGAGCTGGCCAGCCTTTATCTGATCAGATTAGACAGAAAATAAAGACATGAAATCTCAGCCCTTTACAGGCCCCAGTCTCTGTATCCCTGTGGAAAGAGTGTACTGCACAGCTGGGTCCAGCGTGGTGTAGAGAGTCTGGAGACTCAATCCTGCCCACTGTAGGTCCCATTTGCCAGCACCCTGCCTCTCAGATGGCTTCGAGATACTGTGTGCAAAACTGCAGCGTTGTTTAGCAGTTAAGTGGGTTCAGGTGACAAATGGCTGGATAGTAAATTAAGGCCTTATTTGGTGCTGCGAAGCCCTTAGCTCTCTGAGAGCTGAGAAGAAGCCGGGCTGAGAAGTCCTGCCGTTGAGGTCCTTCCCTCTGGCCTGGTTCCCCTAGACCTGCAGAACCTGATGATGTGAGAGAAATTTTAGTTTTTTCCAGGTCATCTTATGGAAAGCTATCATGAAGTCTCTACAGGGAAAGTGCACCATTTCTGGGCAACCCATGCTTTCTTTTTTTTTTTTCAGTCTGAGGAAACACGTCAGACCCAGTATAATTTTAGCAAAAATGTTCTCACAAAGACCTCAAAGCTTATATCCCACAGACTTGAGAAAGAAGGACTGTATTTAAGGAGAAGCAGGTGCCTCACAGGAGCTCACCAGAGGCAGAGGGAGGAGCTGGGCTGCCCGTGGTGGCTGGCAATCAGGGTGACTGTCACAGTTGTATCTAGCACTGTGAGTTCTACCAGGAACTCCATTTTCCATGTTTCCCATGGCGATGGGCTCTCGGTGTAGAGCTCGGAAGTCAAAGTTATTGATGACACTCAGGCTGAAGCCTCTCTTCTGGTTGGTTGAGTCCATGTGTAATGACACCACAACGTCTCATGCATTCTGATTACAGAAGAATCTTACGATCCGTTTGACCTCAGATCTACTGTAGTTAGTTAGGGATGAGTTCCATTCCCTTGTCTCTCCTTCCACCAAGAGCTGGGGTCTATTTTTCTTTTTCTTTGAATTCAGACTAACCCTGAAATTAGCTTGATAGGCAGAATATATTGGAAATAATGGTATAAGTGCCAAGATGCTAGGGCTTCCAAGTTTGTCCTGCTTGGTGGCGACTGTCATGTCTGGCTACTCTGAGGCTTCCCCAGAGCCAGGAAGCCTGAGCTAACCTAATGGAGAACAGTAGGGGCATCGGACACCTAAGGGATCCCTTCTCAGGTGAATGACCACAGCCAACGGCATGTGGAACAGCAAAACTGCCCAACAGAGCCCTGTCCAAATTACTGATCCACAGAATCCTAAGCAAACAAAAATGGTTGACTTAAGCCAGCAAGGGTTAGGGTGATTTGCTGTCTCATAATGAGTGACTAAATCACACAGAGAAAGATAAGAGACTGCACCACACAGGAATAGGACTAAAGCTTTTTATGTCATTCAAATAGCCAACACTGCCGAGGCAGAAGCAGAGCCCAAAAAACCTCCTGGATTCCCGATGTTCTCTACGTGGTGTCAACAGGGATGTTTTCACAAAGCAGCTCTTTTCGCTTGTGTAATTCACTACATTTCCCCATCCTTTCTTGGCCATTGTACCTCTCTACTGTAACCCCATTTGTCTTTTTTACTTTTCACAGTACTGGGGATTGAAGCAAAGACCTTCACGTTGAATTATATCTCCAGCTGATTTAAAAAAAATTATTTTGAGACAGGTCATAATAAATAGCTATTTCCCAGACTGAGCTTGAATGTATAACCTCCAGGCTTCCAGAGTGCTGAGATTACAGAGGTGCTTCACCATACCTGGATTCCACCATATCTGGCTTCCTTTTACTTTAAGATTTTTTTGCTACCAGAGATCGAACTCAGGACCTTGCACTTGCCAGGCAGGTGCTTATGCCACTGAGCTATATCCTTGGCCCTTTCATTTTACATTGAAAGATATAACAGTAACACCTGTGAGCAGTCTAGTTGTCCAATAACACGGGCCTGGGTAAGTAATTTATAGTATTTCCAGGTGATGAAGAAAGCAATTTGAGTTTATTAAAATGAATGCTATAGAATGGTATTTGTAGCCATTGACTGATCTTCCTAATGTGTATATATATATAAATCTATTTATTTGTGTGTGTGTGTGTGTGTGTGTGTGGCCAGCTCAGTCCACCAGGGGGCGGGGCGGGCTGGCTTGTGGTGCTGGGGGATTGAACTGTGGTCGCTGTGTTTTGCTTAGCTTGTTCTAGGTAGGTGCTTTAGACCACTGAGCCATCTTACCAGCCCTTCCTAGTATATATTATGAGACCAAATGCTACTACAAGAAATCTTACAGGCAGCACTCACAGATGCCTGGAAGAGGACACAAGCATGTGGGTAGGCAGTGCAGAGTATGGGAAGTCCGCGCTCTTACGTGAGCTCCTTTCTGAATTAGTGCACACAGAGCTTTTGCAATGAGGGAACAGTAAGAGAAGTGCCATTTGGGAGGTGAAAGTAGACCTCAGACGGACGGATTGGTCAGGCCTGGGGGAAGGGCGTGGGGGGTGGTGGTGGAAAAAGGCCAGAAAACATGTAACTTATGTCAAGGTACTTGGCTTGTTGGGGGCCCGGCTCAGCCTTTGCTGTCTGAGCACAGGTCTGACAACAGCACGACCTCTGCCTGGAGCAAGGCAGCCTGGGCTCCTGCAGGCTCCCGAGCGAGCGGGAAACGGGCAGAGGACTCAGACAGGGATGCAGTGTTACGGACGGGCCCGGTCTGAACATTACCATCAGGTATGGTTTATTAAGCAACCCCTGGCCAGCAAGAGTTAGGCCTGGGTTCAATGTCCAGCACTGCAAGCAAACAAACAAATGAATAAAAAACAAACTACCCTTCTACCTTAGTGAATCAAGGCGTAGGGTTTTGTTTACCTTAGTGTTCACAGGTAGGCTTTTCAAGGAAGCAGGTCTCCCTTTCTAAGACACACGAGGCCTTCGTTCCTCTGAAGCTGTCAGAGTGTTCCTAGGGTTGGAAAGTAGAGACGCAGTGGGAGGGCACTAGCAGACGTCTGGTCTCCCTGGGCTTCTGATCCAGCCTCCTCCCCCAGCATCCTAAGGACAAGAGCAAGATCTGTGCACTGGGGACGCCTGTCATCACATCTATTAGAAACACCAGCTTGGATCACCTCCCTGCACCCTGTGCATGCTGCTGGGAGTGCCAGGTGGTAGGCGGGTGGGCATGTGACCCAGGCAGAGCCAGGTGGTACAGCCCATTGCAGGCAGGCACAGGACCGAGGCCAGGCCAGGTCATGCAGGCTCCTTTCTGAGATTTTGTTGGAACTGTTGATTCTGGGGGTGGGGAGGACTGTTTCTATTTGAGTTGCTAAGCCAGGAGGTCACCTGCCCAAGCTGCTTGTAGCCGCCTGCGCCACCTCACAGAGAGCCTGCCTGGGAGAAAGTCAACACCGGAAGGCAGAGCAGGGAAGGACAGAGTTGGGGGAAGGACAGAATCAGCTTTCTTAAGGTCATCTTTTGAAAACATGTATCTAGCTAGTCCAGAATTTACTCATGGATTTCTTGGTTACATGAAAAGCCTTTTCTTTCTCTCTTCCGACAGTTTATTTTCAGAGAAAACACCGGAGAAGGTAAAGCTTGAATGAAGGATCTAAGATTTGAGCAAACTTTTCCTTTTGAGACAAGGTCTCACTGTGTCACTCAGTTGTCCAGACTGGGCTTGAATTTTTGATCCTTAGACTTCGGCTACCTCCCAGAGTGTCAGGATTACTGGCATGTGCCACCACACATGGCTACTTTATGTCTTGTTTGTTTGTTGCACTGGAAATAGAACCCATGCAAGGCAAGTGCTCTGCCACAGGGCTATATCCCCAGCTCCAGCGACAACTTTTCAAACGAAGTCACACAGTCACATTTTAGCTTCACCATGGCCTTTTTTTTTTTTTTTTTTGCAGAACCAGGGATTGAACTCAGGACCTTGTGCTTGTCAGGAAAGCACTTATTCTACTGAGCTGTCTCCCCGGCCCTAAACATTGGATTTTTTTTTTTTTTTTTTTTTTTTTTTTTTTTTTTTGG